TGATCCTCATCTACAGACACTTTTTCCCTACCTTCCCCCTTCTTCCATGGCTCCATTCGACCGAAGCCTGCGAGCATCTATTCGGAATGCTTCGCCAGCTCAAGAAAGACTTCAATTATGCGGATGTCCTGAACTTTGAGCGCAAGCTTCGTGCTTTCATGCGCGGCGCGTTCGACAATCTGTCCCCAGATGAACAAGCAGCCGAGACCTCCGCTGGCTACCACCATACCTACTTCACGGCGGACGACATCGACCTGCTCGTCCTAATGGAATGGCCTACCGATGAACAATTAGCTGATGCATCAAAACAAGCGTTTGAGGAGGCTGCGCAGCTTTTGAATCTTGTCGGGATTGATGCCGAAGCCATGCTCAAGGATTACGTCGATCCCAAGCTATCGACGAAGACTATGGTGCCGAATGCGAAGCAGCAGCACACTCACCAGTCGAAACGTCCCCAGACTCTCCACGAGCTTTTGGCTCTGTATAAGCCGGTGCGATTCAACTCGTCGAAAGATGAAGATACATTCGAGGCATGCGAGCTAGCTCTGGCTGCCGAATCTTTGGACAAATCCCTTACAATGTATGTTTAGATCTGTTCATTCTATTTGGTCTTCTGCCCACTCCTTTCCAGTGATGCTCTTCCAGACTCGACAGAGGAATCGTTGGGGGAGATGCGTGCTGAGATCCAGGCCCATCTTGACGTGCCAGCGGTGAAGGTAAAGTGCACACTTAATCGAAGTCAAAATGTCTGATTTAAGTGGCCCATTAGTTACGTCCAGCCATAGCTGATACCGCCGATTTCGTGCTGCCCCTCGTCGTCGATGATAAGCTCAATGGGGATCTTCTCGTCTCGGAACGACTGCGACACCAACCCAAGTCGACAGCAAAGGCGGTCCGAAAGCACGGTCGAATGTCAACTCTGATGGCCAGTCGAAACGAAGGCAACACTGTGACATCAGCAGAATCCGGCCCCTCGTTGCGCGAAACTCTCATTAAGTGTTTGGCTACTGCCGTCCCTACCTCTGAAGCCTTCAACAAAACCACGGGCATTGATCGCTATGTACGACACGCTGGCACCTTTTCCGGATCTGAAGTCGTAGTGGCCGGTAGCAAGCGCGCTGAGAACAAGGCAACTGTCCAGGCTGTCGCGGCCTCGGCAAGTCGCTTCCCACTCTGCTTTCTCCTTTATTTTGACGCCGTTGTGATACAGAAATTTGTACAGCTTCGGGCAGCAGCCCTATCCCAATTTCAGGTCATCCACCCAAACATGTACACGGGCAACATCAACGAGCTGCATCCCCTGCAAGATGGGCATTTTGTGTTAGCTATGGCGCCCGGTGGCGCTCCTTTCGAAATCGTTGTCGGAGAAGGTCCGTAGTGCCTCAATTTACTTACTGAATACTGACTATTAGTTGACGGTGCTGACGATTTATTCCAAGAATACGCACCACGACTGGATTCCCTTCGCTCCCAGCGTCGGAACGCCCTCATACATTTATGTCAGAGTCTACCGACAGTTCGCCGGCAGCTTGTTTTCATCACTCTCCTGCCAAAAACTCGGCACCTCGACATTCCTCCAAATCCCTCGCACCCACATTTTATTCTCCCTCGCGTCTTTCAAAATCCAGCGGGAAGACGTCCTCACCGCCGCTCATCCGCTCACGCTCCTCACACTGGGCAAAGATTCGATGGCATTATTTGACGCATTCCATAAAGACCGCAATGCTTTGCATTTGGCAATCGCAGAGCTAGCAAGAACATCCAAGTCCAAAAAAGTTGGGCCCCTTCCCGCATCGATTCCTTCCGAGTCCGAGTCCGGGGATTCTGCTTCCAGCGCGGAGGCCAAAGATGCTTGAATTCTATACCAAACGTCTCGAACACATACTTACATATATATATACGTGAAGCGAGTACCTAACTGTAAGGAATTCAGAGTTATGCGGACGGAACCGCCGGATTTTGACCTCTGATCGTTTATGCGGACGGAGCGGCGTCGCGAAGAGGTCGCATCCGTTATGCGGACGGAAAGGCCCGAAAAACAGGCGCCCTGATCCCAGTGCGGACGGATCTGGGGCAAAAAGGCGCGTACGGAAACGGGCAAAATCGCGAAAATCGGATCGGACCTATTTTGACATATGCCACCCGCCTTCGGCGGTTCGACTCCGCCCTAGGGCATTTTCTTCCACAACGAAAGTTTTTCCGCCTTTTTGACGCGTTCACCTCGTTCGTCTATTCGCCGCACCGCGCAAATACGAAAGCGCCCCGTTAAAGCGCACGTAATCGTCCTACGAAATTCAAAGAATATAAGTAAAGCGTCTGACTGCGCAGGCGTCCGCGATTCTGTCCATGTGCCCATCTATAAGCGAGTAAGTAAATCTATCGCACATGTATGTATGCATGCGCGTCTACAGCGCTGGCCCCGCACGCGTTACCGTACGCTGGCCCCGCGAGCTCGCTTCGGCATCCCCGCCGCCGATGGGACAACATATCGGATCGGGGCGGGTGGAGACGCAGGGCGTCGACGCAGGGCGCTGACTCGCGCGCAGGTCACCCCTCGACTTGCACGCAGCCGCCGCCCCACCCACCCGCGGAGCTGGAGCTCGAGCGCGCACAGGCCCGTCTACAGCCCCGACCCGCATAGATAAGCTCCCCCGCACGATGCAGCCCTCACACCCGCGCGAGCTCACACCCTACACCCTCACAAACCTTGAGCTCACATCCTACACTCTCACCCAGCGCGAGCTCGCGAGCGATAGCCTGCCCGCCGCCGCTGCCGCGCCGGGGGACAGGGGGCTCAGCTCGGGCTTGCAGGAGGACGGCGGGCGGGCCGTAACGGCGCGGCTGCCGCGCTCGGGGACAGGGGGCTCAGCTCGGGCATGCAGGGCGAGGCCGGGCGCGCTTGCACGGGGAAGAGTGCGGCCGGCGGTGGGGGAGATGGAGGGTGGGGACATAGCAGAGGAGCACGGGGATGTAAGCTGCTCGGCTTTACGGGTCGGTGAGCGGGAAGGCATGGAGAGCGGGGAGGCAAGCGGGAGGGAGGAGGTTTTGCGCGTGGGGAAACCCACGGCGGTCGGTGTAAGCGGGGACATGGGGGGCGGGTGAAGGGGAAGAAGCCTTGTTGGCGATCGGCGAGGGGGAGGCCGATCTTGCGCGTCGGAGACAACGGCGAAGCCACAGCAGGACGCCGGGGCGCGCAGGGGATGACGGTGAAGGCACGGTGGAGACCGCTTCATCGCCAGCGCAAACGCACACACCGACGCCCGCTTCACCCCTGCCCCTCGCCGCCCCCTCCTCTTCATCCGAAGCGTCTCCACCTCGACATCGTTAATCAGCATACAGCTCTTCCTCGTCTTCCTCTTCTTCCCCCCCACCTCTCCAGTTCCAGCTCTGGGGCAGGCAGCTAGAGCGCCGACATCGCCTTGCGCTCGCATGTCGTGCCGGTCGCGCGTATAGTCGTACGCGCTCGAGCCGAAGGGCGAGGAGTAGGCGGCCGGCCCGCGCTCTGTGCGACCCGCCGATAGCAATCGGCTGCGCGCCGAGGCGCTTGGGGGGGCCGGGCGCGAGCAGCCCGCGGTCGGGCGTTGTCGACGTGAGCGAAGACGCCGCGGTGGGGTCGTGGAGGAAGTTTGGGACGACAGAGGGGATGGGGAGGTGGAGGTCGGCGAGGGTGGGGAGAAGAGAGGGAGGAAGGCGAAGGCGGGGCGCGGCTAGGGGGTCCGAGTCGGGGGCGGGAGGGGGAGATGCGTCAGCGCGAGGGACGCGAGGTGCGCGGCGCTGGAGCGGGTCCCAGGGCGTTATTTCCTTGAGCGCTTCAGTCACATCTGGAGCGGGATTCAAACTCACAAGGGACTCACTGCGAAGGGCAAGTTCAGAGACGTCCAAAGTCCGCCAGGCACGTCACGAAGTAAGTCATATGCATCCAAAGAAAAGGCTTTAGAGCGCCATGTCGTTTAGTATTCGCATTTTCCGCTTGATGTTCCTCGCTGGGGCCAAGAGTTGTTCACTGAAGACTACCGTCTTTTGCACTCAGGAGTTTCGCATCGTCGCCGGGGTAAATGTCTCCGTGAGGCGAGCGGAGGCGGAGGTTGAGATGGAAGTTGACGGAAGGGAAGTGTCGGTGGCGATGCAACCACTCTTGCTCCCGACGTTCACAACATCATTTTCAGGCTTTCACATTTATTGTTGCTTCGACGCGATTCGTACTGGGTGCCGCGACGGACAAGACTCAAGAGAAATCGATAGACAACTTTCGCGCAGTATACAACGCCGTGCTGCACCGAGGTCCGGGACGACAGCCAGATGTAAACCCCAGCCCTTGCCCGCTGCACAACACAAGCCTGCAGATATGCGCGCGTAGTCCGACGAGCTGTCCCACGCGTGCCCCGTTCCACTGCTCTACGGCTTAAATTTCCTCGCCCAACACGCGTGTCTTCCGGCGACACGCCACGCAGGACGACGGGGCCGCTCTTTCTGGGCGCTTCGTTTTACGCGACGACTACCACGAGGGTCAGAGGCGTCAACCTGTTGTCTCTCTAAGGCTTTTTGGATGCGATGCGGATTGCCTTCAGGAAGGCTGAGTGCAGATGGCTGAGGCGAGTGCTTCGATTTTCCCTTTGGACATGTTCTACGCGTTGGACTGATCTCGTCCGAGGCATCGTACACGTGCGATTGGATATTTGCGCCTAGTGATGCGGGGTCATTTTCAATCTCTAGCGTAAATCCGCACCGTCTCATCTCCTCCCCTCTTTGTTCAGGTTCAAACCCCGCGCGCTGTCATTGGCTCCAAACCAAAGTCGTTTCGCTAGGTCGGCACGACGACTCCAGCACGACTGTCATTTTAATTTGCCCCCGCGCGGTCCTCTTCTGTTCAACTTGTGCTGGCATTCATCGACTGGTGTCGTCAGCTCTTGAGTTGAACATTCCAGGTGACCCATCAACCAGTGCAGCAGTCAACATGAATCGCGCTCCACCGATACGCGACAGCTTCAGGCCAATACAGTGTCGTCTTAGTCTAGTGGTAGCCCGCACTGACTGATATGTGATTGCTTCCTCTAAGGTTTCAGGTGCGGTCGGCGGTTCGACTCCGCCCTGGGACATTCGCCTTCGTTGTTACTTTTTCGCATTTGTTTTTGTATTACGGGGCGCATTTTTTTCTACACCGCAGACCTCTCCTCAGGCTCGAAGTTCAAATTCAGGCCTTGGTCTAGACTAGACGTATAAAGTTGAACCGCTTCAACTTTCAAAATCGGCATCGGCATCGTCACGACTCGGAGGATACATCCGCGCCTTGCACTCTTGACGGAACGTTCTTCCCGTAAAGAAATGTCGTCCTGGTATAACGGCAACCCGCGCTGCTTAATGCATTAGGAAGCCCCCAGCGATTTTCGGTGCGGTCGGTGGTTCGACTCCACCCTAGGACACTATCTATATTTTTTGTGACATTATTTATATTTTTCGTTCCCATTTCTTTTTGGTTGGGCACGCATCTTATCATAAGTTGGTGCGGATACACCGTCGCCTGCTTGAGTTCAAAGTGCAGATTCAAACCATGAGTCTAGACTCTCCCCGAGCCTAAAAGTGGAAGAGTTTTAACTTGTATGTAGACTCAAAGACAAATCGAAGAGCATCAAACGAGGATGGATTCGTTCCTCACACTCTACACCAAGTATTCTCCTTGTAATAAATGTTGTCCTAGTCTAGTGGTAGACTGCGCTGCTCAATGTATTTGTTGAATATTTCGGGTGCAGGTGGTGGTTCGACTCCACCCTAGGACATTTGGCTTCAGTCTTGGTTTTTTAAATTCCATTTTCTCCACTTGCTCCCCACACGGTATGATCTATGCAGCCTTGCCTGTGCCGTTGGCATCAGAGCCTTGGTCTAACCGTTGCCCGTTCAAACCCACCGTTACGCGCAGATACATACACCTGTTTCGCCCGGTCGGCACGCCGACTGCACCATTAAGTATTTTAAATTATTCTGTCTGCCTCGTCTGCTTTATTGCACCAATCGACCGGCTCGTCACTCCCAGTGCCGAACAAGCCTGGGGTGCTGTGACTTCAACTTCAACTCCAATTTTCAAATCAACCGCATGAGGGCCGTGCCTCCACCTCTACACCGCAGATTCAAACTCGCCACAATGTTGTCCTGGTCTAACGGTAGCCCGCGCCGCATAATTGAGGAGAATTCTGACATTCAGGTGTGGTCGGCGGTTCGCCTCCGCCCTGGGACATTCGCTTTCGAGAGCGATGTTTTTTTCCTCTATTTTTTTTTGTATTTCGGCGCGCAATTTTTTCCGCACATCACAGATCCCAGACCACTCTTTGGGTTCGAAGTTCAAATTCAAATTCAAGTCACAGTCTAGACTCTATCTAACACGAACCTGATGAACCGCTTCAACTTTCAAAATCGGCATCATCAGCGGACAAACGACTTGGGATACATCCGCGCCTTTCACTCTCCACAGTCCATTCTTCATGCAAAGAAATGCCGTCCTGGTATAACGGTAGGCCGCGCCGCACAATACACCATTCGATAGTACCCAGTTTTAGGTGTGGGTCGGTGGTTTGACTCCACCCTAGGACACTATCTATAATTTTTGTAGGGCTTCAGCCCCACGGGTCAACGGCACCCGTCGAACGGGTTCCGTCAGCGATTTTTTGTGCTCGCCGACGGCACGGGCCCGAAATGGTCACGTGCTGCATCGAAACTAACTTTGGCTGCCTCGAAACTTCCGTAATCCCGGTGTGAGGTTAGAGCTTATTTGAAGGACCCCAGAGGCCGGTGAAACCCAGAGGTCAACAAAAAGGGTAAGATGACGAAGAAGTGACGAAGAAGTGACAGCTGATGTCGGAGACAGAAATTTGACAGCGGAGATTAAAAAGCTTCGGACAGACGGACAGACAGTCGTAATTTTATAAGAGGGTGAAAAGAGGGTGACCAGATCGACTAAATGGCAGTCAAAGTACTCATTTGAGCGAGGGTGAGAACTGAAGCGAACAAAACAGGTATGTACTAGTACACATAAAATCAGGACATCTGCTTAAGATATGACTGAGTAATCAGCAGGTCAATGTAGCTCCGGCTAGCTGCGTGCCGCTCCATTCCGAGCTGTCACGCCCCTACTTTCGTGCGCTCAACACCCACACAAAAGAATCTCAGCCAAGCTCTGACAAACTTTCCATCTAGTCTTCATCTTACTTCCCACTGGCATCCGTGCGCTAGTCCTTTTTGCTCATTATTACCTGACTTGACTTGTCGGCAGGATCATAACCATGCCGTTCTTCAGCTCCCATCAGCCTCTTGAGGGGATGACCCTCACCTTCAGCGACCCCACCGGTCCTGTGCCCGATGCTCGCCAGCAGGAGGTCAAAAAGAACCTTGATAAGATGCTCACAAGGGAACAACAGCAGGCATGGCCAGTCTGCGACATTGTGTGAGACCTTTTTCTCACTCTCCTCCCTTGGGATCGTCTTTCTAATCATTCTCTGTCTTTAGTTTCGGTGATGGTGGTAGCGGCACATACCGCTGCTACCAGACGACAAACAGGGGATTGGGCGAGCAAGGCCCTGCTGGTGCTTTCAAGATCTGACGAACACGCAAGTAGTGTGTGACACGGTGTTACGCATTACCGCGGTGTCACGGGTATGGGTGTCACGGGTGCGGGTACGGTGTCCCGATTTGTACAAACCCGTAATACCGTGATCCAGGGCCAAAACCCGCGGGTTTTCTAAATTAAGTGAAATGTCTTGAATATGAGCTCCTAGCTACATTGTGCATCATAATAATATGCATCAGGGATAATGAGTGTCTCCCACACTTCTGGGACCGCTGAAAAGGCCCCCCACTAATGCCTAGCCTCCCCAAACAATTCATTCAAATGTAATGCAATTCAACTGATATACTAATGTAATAATGATTATATAGCTCAGGGGACCTTGATAGGCACTATAGTATGTCAAATACATGTATAGGACCTCAATATAGACTGCAATAGGTCCAGGGAGCTGAGATTAAACCAGAATTTCCTTATTTGGACGCAGGCGTAGTGCTTTTCCTCGGAAACTAACAGGGACAAACACTTGCTGATCCCACTGATCTTGGCTCATATTGGGTCATTTGGGGACGTAATAATACCAGTAAAATGCATGAAAAATCGTACTCATTGGTAGCAACATGTCAGGTAGTACTTAGAGCTAATAATTCTCTGAATAATACTGCAGTATTAAGTACCACGGGTTTTTGACCACACCGTGGTTATTTACCGCACCCGCGGGTACGGGTACGGTGTCACGGGTCACGGGTACGGTAAGGGTCACCTGTGTCACGGTATTCACCCGTGTCACACCCTACACGCAAGGAACTGCTGTAACAACGAAAGTCATCATCATTGAATTCCGAAAATTAATAAGTGAAACGGAAAATGAAAAAAGCCTGAGTGATTGTCCATGATGTACATTATTTTGCAATTCCAAACAAGCTGCATCTATTCGTTACTTCCTGATAGTCCGTGAATATGAATGGGGGAAGCTTGAGTAACCCACATGTGAACAAGATGTATGATTCGCCTTTGACACTACTGCACATGCTTTGAAGGTGCTGACCTCCAAGTTAGTACATATTTCAATGAGATGAATGTGAATACAATGAATTGGGGGCCTGCTGTGGTGCACATCCATGATTGTAAATCCCTCAAGAGCAACAGTGAACAAACTGAATGCAGTCTGGTAGTCACCATCTGCGAGATAGACATCTCCAAGATATTGGAGAGCTTTGTGGACCTCCAGCTTTCGCTTCAACTTGAGGCTATGGACCATGAATACCATCGTCCAATTAGAGGAAGTATGAAGATCCAAAGTAAGCCAGAGGGAGGCTTTCCCAAGTTTCCCCAAATGGCAGTGGCTGACATCCCCAGTGGATTTTCCCCAGGCAAATTCAAGGCATGTTTGGTATAAGCTTATTGCCTTCAGTAAGTCCCCCTCATTCACATCAATATCTGCTGTGAATATATCACATGTAATGATTCCCATTGAATACCCCCATATGGCTGAAGATCTGCTTTACTGTATCAAAATTCCTGACCACTCCATCCATTGATGCACCAATTTCCACAACAATCTGTGCCATTGTGAGTAAAGCATAGGCATAATCATAAGGGTTTTGCTCTATTGAAATAGTATGTCAACACAGAGGCTTGGGCGGGTTCTAAGAATGCAACCTAGGTGACTGGAAAACAAACAGGGATCAGACAAAGGAAAGCAGCTGGATATAGACCAGAATTGTATACAGGAGTGATACCTACTGGCTAGTTATATAGTAAAATACTTAGGAGTATGTATAGGGTTAATTAAGCTACTAATGATTGCTCCGCAATGTAAATATAAGTCAGCAGACGATCGGGTTTTGGAACCTGATTGTAATTGGAAACATGGCAGGAAAGGAAAAATTAAAGTGGTCCATGACATAGTATGAAGTCCCCGAGTGATGACACACTGGGCCTCAGCATATTCCGATTTCTGCAGGTGAACTTCTGCCTGATCAGTGAGGATCTGGCTGTCGAGTTCACCCCCAGACATACATAGACACCAAGTAGATCTCTTGCCCTGTTGGCTAGGAGGATGCTATGATTATAGTCCTCAAGAATATGCCAGCATACATATTCAAAGTGTAGTGCACGGGCCTCCATGAACAGGTTGCCTAAAATCCTGGCAAGCCTCCGTGACTCATAAGCATCCTCCCAGCTTGCGGAATAATCACCAGTTCTGAACTTGATCCATGCCAATGTAGTCAACATATCAGCCTGTATTTTGGTGTTCCTAGTTGAAATTGAAAATGAGAGGCCACATCTGGACAGGTCACTGTTTGACCTAACAGAACATTCCGCCAGAACATTATACAATTGGCCTGGTGGATACTGTCAGTAAGTACAGACCATAGAAATTCATGTATAACCAACATTTAATATCTGAATCATCAAATTGGGGCAAATTTTCAATAGCTAGCTTCACTAAGTCCTCTGCATTTGGAACAGGATTTTGTTGATATCCCAACAAGTGTATCATGATAAATGAAACCTCCAGTCTATGGTCTCTCCAGTTGGGCAGAGCTGTAAACCTGGGCGGTGTGATGCGGACTGCAGTGCTTCAAACTGCCAGATGGTGGGGAGATCCGGGCTATGTTTAAATGCTCGTCCTCTAGGGGGAATTTGTTCTGTCGCGGTAGACAAGTACGTAGGAGGTTTTGATTATTATTGGTGGGGATATCCATACAAGGATTGAACAATTCGTTCAAAATCCTGCTAGCTAAGGTGGACCGAGCGAACTCCAAAGCCTAGTTAGCCTTCTCGGGTTAACGGAGATTGAATATATTCTACACTTCCTTGGAGGAGGAACTCTGGAAGGCGATGCAGGGTCCAATTCGTCAAGTCCGAGGTGAAATATGGTTTTTAGGGGCTTCTTGGACCTCGAACCACGGTCTTCTGAAGTATATTTGGGTTGTTGATCGTAGGACCAGGGGAGTTATGTGTCCGTGGTACTGTTCCCGCAAATTTCTCCTCCTTTTACCCCTCTTTGTGCCTCTACGGAGTTTCCTCTCTCTACTTCCCAACCCGTTCGCTTGCTGAAGGCGACTTCCTGGGGGCTCTGCACCACCAACTTCCTTAGCTAGCAGCTACACACAAACTCCGAAGACTTGTTGTGCTGCTTGAGAGATTTCACTGCCCTACTAACATAGGGGAGGAATAGAAGGTTCGATAGTCAACGTTGAACTAATGCCAAAATGAAACTCTGATCGCTGTCTGATGGCGGCGAGGGAGTACCAGAGGTCGATTTACTGTATAACTTGACTCCGGGTGACCTCTAGGCGATGTTTGGGCGGTTTTTAGCTACTCCTAAGCTGGCTAAGGCTTAGAAGCTGAGAATGTGGGCTGAAACTGAGATGCCATTTTGCTAGACAAGCTGTAGTATTTATACCCCCAGCCCAAGGCTGTGCCGGAGCTGCTCCTTTGTGTCCCAAATCCCGCTCGCTCATGACTCACTATGGACCCCGGGAGGCTATTTTCGCACCGTCCCTTCACCAGGTACCGACTCCATGGTCCAGGCTCGCTCACCCTAGCCCCAGACGTACCTTCTCCGATCCTAGCTCCCCTCCGACCTCAATTCCACCCATAACGGCTCGATGCTGCAGAGGTAGCGCACTCCGCACTGTTCACCCCAGTGTTTGAACATTTCGGAGAGACCCGGAGTTCGATCCTCCATTGAGCCATCCTCTTGCACGATCCACCTTTTTCGTCTACTCAGAGTTCCTGTCGGTCCTCCAGATTGTAGGCATACACGGCTCGATGGCGTAGCTGGAACGCGCTGTGAGGGCTGTACATGCACTGCGTGTGCCCTCGCGCCACTGCATCCACAGGACGAGACCAATCGCCCGATTTGGAAGTGTCAAGAATCCGGATATGGAAACTTCCCCAACCGCGGCTCGTCTCTAGCTGCTTCCCTCACCACGACCGTGACCGTATCCGCACCCGACGGAGGCACCACCCGAGGACGACGGCCCCCTACGCAGCACGACTTATCCGCACCCGCGCCCTCATCCTCGAAACCCGTCCGCGCTGGCACTCTCATCCTCACGTGCCGCCACTCGTGGCCTCCACCCTCGTTTCTACGGGATATCCCCACAGCCCGGGCCCGTATCCAGGGCACGACTATAAATCCACCCCGGAAACCAGGACACGACCGATATTCACCCCAAATTCGACACCTCGTGCGGTCCCCACGGGCATTTCACCCACTTTCGGACCTCGCATTGCATATTTGAGCGTCCTGTTCATCCGTTGACCCGAGCTGCACTTGGGGACACCCTTGCCGCACTTGGGGACGCACTTGCAGCGCTCGGGGCAACCACTTTTTCGACCTAAATTTGGTCATACACTTCATCCTACACCTATTTCGAGCGTCCAGCTCCTCCGGGGGACCGCACTCGACCCAATTCCGACGGAACTGGGGCTGTGCAGCCAGAGGGTATAAAAGGGACGTGGTTTTAGCACTGTAGGATAGTAAATTCCCAGTACAAGTTTTCCCCCGCTCGTCTAGAGTGTACTTGTGCCAACCAATACACCAGATTTGACCACCCACTTTCTTTGCAGCTTCTCTTCGAAGGCTCGCGCCACACTCACCCTCGTACCTTTCACTGCGGTACATCCTCCAGCACAGGCTTCGCAGCCTCAGCATCGGAAACTCGGTCGCTCGCCTCGTTCATTGGGGAAAGGCATCGTCCGCAGTTGGGGCATATACCACCGACACACACAGACACCTTCTTTCAGTGCGCTCCACGCGGGGTCCACTCCCACTCGACTACGACCGGCGTACCACACGAGCTTCCGCTCTAAATCGGTATTACACCTCGTATTGCCCCCTAGAGGACGAACACAGCTACCCTCGGGAACCAACTCCCTACACACGGTAGCGCCGCGGTCCTTATCACAGTGCCCTGTCTTAGTGCTCTTGCACTAGCACCTTTTGTGGGAAGTCCGGAGTTCAATTCTTCGTCGAGCCATTCCTCTGTTCCATCCTTTTTTTGTGTCGATTATCGGACATTCGTATCCGGTCGTGCCCATGGTCTGATGGCGTAGTGGTAACACGCTCTGCTCGCGTAGCTGGTGGGAAACTGAATAATAGAGGGTCTGGAGTTCAAATCCCCGTCGGGCCTTGCATTTTTGTCCATCAAGGATTCATGTTTGAACAGCTCAGTGGCGTAACAGTATTGCACTCTGTATTCCTATGTAGTCGACTCGAACTCCGCTGAGCCATTCCCCTATTCCTTTTGTTACCTCCACAAAATTGCCGCTTGATGCCGCCTCCGTGGATGGATTTCTTTAACAGCTTGGTGGCATAATCGTTAACATGTTCCGTGTCATTCTAAAACACTTGTATATCGTTTGATGGAAAGTCTGGAGTTCAATTCTTCATCAAGCCATTAGTAGGGTCTGGATAATGTTTTAAATCGGAGTTGCTAGTGGTCATTTTTGAGTTCGACTCTTGAACGGTGTGATTGGGACTGCGGTGCTGGTGTGTGATTTTGGTTTACACTGGCAACAGCGTATTCGTCCTCTAGGGGATTTTGAGTGAGATTTTAAGGGGATTACAAGGCTTATTGGGTCGCCCCTGGGTGGTGGTGATAAAATGAGGGTGGACCGTCTTGTCGGGACGGTGGCCGTAGGGAGTGTGTGTGTGTGTGTGTGTGTGAATAAATCGGTCGAGGGCCTGTGCGTCGAGGCATGAAATGTCCGGCTGGGACGGTTGGTTTGTCGATGGGCTGAGGCTAGAAACAAAAGATCATGAGGCTCGAGCTTATGGACTTAAGCTGCAGGGGGGGTTAGGAGTAAAATGCTGTGAAGCAAGTGAGTGGTGGACAACTGTTATTGGTGATGGACTAGGAGTACACTGTGGAACAGTGCGGGGGGATCCGACGTCCAAGGGGTTGACCCAGGAACTACTGACTACTGGGTCTGTTCCTGTCTCCCTTTTATACCTTTCCCCCTACCTCCTTCGGGTCGTGCGTTATGTGACGAGGAGGGGCTGAAACAGGTTCCAATGGTTTCAGGTAGGTAACGGAAGGCGAATTGGCAAACAGCTTTCTGGGACGAATTGCCTTTTGGCCAGTCCATGGCAATTCCACGAGGTGTGAGGTGTAGGTGACTGAGAGGGCCATCCTGGACATGGATTCAAGGGCCTCCTCTGGTTGAAATGTGCGCAGGAGTGAATATCTGGGGACCGGTCGTCCCAGACGGTGGTCGAGAAGGTGCTCCCATCGGACTTGGCATCATGGTGGTTTGTCAAAGTCACGTGGTCATGCTGGACGGTCGGGGAGCATATGGGGACGCAGTGCTGTGGCGCAGAGGATAGGTGAGGATGGGGAACGGCTCCGCTGGACGACGACCATTTCGGGAAGGCAAGAAGCCCGATCAGGACGTTGGCATGTCTGCTGGTCCGTTGTGACACATGTAGGGTGCCTGGCACCCTCACAACGGCTTGGTGGCGTAATGGTAACATGTTCCGTGTCCTTTGCAACGTTTGCATATTGTTGGATGGAAAGTTCGGAGTTCAATTCTCCATCGAGCCTTTGACAGAAACCCTTCTTTTATCACTGCTTTTTTGGATATCGATTCGTATGGCTTGATGGCGTAATGATAACACGCTCTCTGTGTTGTTTTACAGCATTTGTGTATCGCAAGACAGACAGTTCGGAGTTCCATTCTCCGTCAAGCCATTGGTTGGGTCTGGGTAATGTTTTTAACTCAGAGTTGCTTTGGCGTTATTCAAAGCTCGATTCTTGAACGGCTTGGTGGCGTAATGGTAACACGCTTGCGTCCTTTATGTAGTGTTCATATATTGTTCGTGGTGAGTCCAGAGTTCGATTCTCCATCAAGCCATTGCATCAAAAATATTTCTTTTGTTGACCGGCTCGGTGGCGTGGCGGTAACACATTCCGAATTCCTACATAGGTGTTTTGTTCTCGGAAAGTATGGAGTTCGATTCTTCGTGGGTGAGGTGGCCTTCTTATTACGCTCTCGGCGTTCGGTGTTTTGAGGTCACATCGGGAGGGTGAGGTGTTTTTTATTATGCTCTCGGAGTTCGGTGATTTGAGGTCACATCGGGAGCTATCACAATGTGATGGCTCACAGCGGTTTACTGATCCGATCACACACTTACATATACAGTCATCACTTCTCGTTTACCATCTTCTTGTCCATTGTGATGTGGACTGTGGTTCTTGTAGATGCCAAGTGGGCTGGGTGCCTTGGGTAGTCTGCAATTTAAATGGCTCGTCCTCTAGAGGGAAATTAATTCTGTCGCTGGGAAATCTCCTGGCAGTTGCGGCAAAATGTATTTAGGAAGAAAGATAGGTAACTCTAGTGGAAGGTCCATTAGAGGGTGCTACTACTGTTGATGGAAGTCGGAGGTAGATAGTCTTCCGGGTTTATGCAGGGGGATCTCGCTGAAACAGTTGCTCAGGGTCCATGGCTGCAGAGTGCAAGATAAACCCAACCATCAAGTGACTGAGATTGAACCAAATCGAAGGAATGAGATGGCCAACACACCAACTACTCAAATAATTGAACTTTGAACACCAAACACCTCCTTTACTGCCCCTCTAGTTGGTCCTGACGAGCTAGGGTCTTTTTAGACTCAAGTATAGGTCTAAAGAAGACCAAAGCCGAGATGACCTGGTTGATTTTGTACTGAAGGAAGTAACTCCGAAGAGGAACTCTCAAGACAGGAGTAACACTTCAATTGCAAATTGACCAGGTCAACAATCGAGACTGAGTAACAGGTTTGGTTCAATTTATAGCTTCTCAGCTGTAAGGCACAAGTAATGGCTGGAGGGCCGCCAGGTTGTTTGAACCAAAGTTTGGGTTTTTGGACACATGTCCCACTATTCAGTACTCAGGACCTTCATCAGGAAGACCCACACAGTAGCCTTCAGCCAAACCTTTAAAACATGGAGAGGGACAATGGTGGTTGCCTCACACACTAACCAGGGTTGCAACTTCTGACTTGTACTCCAACAACTTAGTCTCAACAATAATCCATCAAACAGATATAAAGTTGTTAACCAAAGTCCCACTAGAGTGCACTCCAGCCATCAGACTATGACTGAGTGCCTCTTGTTAAGAGGCACTCACTCACAGCCCTCTGGCTGACATTCACTTCGGGCTTGCTTAATACTGGTAAGTATGGATTGTTGTTACCCAAGTTACCTACCACATGAGCTGCAAGTTTCTCTACAAAATAACTGAAGATTCTATTCCATCTTCACACTCTCAATATATAATTGGAGTCCCGGGAGACTGGGGATCCAGTGTAAAGCTTCACGAACTCTTCCAGCAGAGTTTTGTTGTTGAAACTGACCCACAGGGATTGTTGGTTACTGAGGTGTTCAGTCCTGAGTTCCTGTACAGTGTTGTGTATAGCCCATATGATCGTAGGTGATATGGGCAGAAACCCTGTCAAATTGATGAAAAATTGGCAAAGATCCTTGCCCTTTTGATCAAGCGGAATGGAGGTGATACAATGCCAATAAGACTCGGGGATACATGTGGAGATGCCCACCAGGACACCACTGGAGGTGTATTGTTTTTTCCGAGCAGGTTTCTGATATCTTCCCATTAAGATGAGGTTGAGTTCTCGGATTTTCTCTGCCGCAATATTGTCCTCCGTGGTTCCCCGCACTGAGGATGATCTCCCATATCCAACAGTAGACTGGGGACCAGTCTCATCGATGAGCAACTTCTTGGGTTTACGGTCGCCTTGTAGATATAGTTGGCCATGAATCCCGAGGATCTTCTGGAATTCAGCTCTACAAGGGGTGTCTCAGCTTCAAAATTGTAAGAAAGAACACGAGCCAACAACCTCTCTTCCTTGGTCAGTTTGATCAAGTCAGCCGGAGTCCCTGCATCAGGTAAAACAAGCATATTCCAGTTGAAGTCTTCTCTCTTGTCATAAACAAAATAGCTGACGGCCCACACCAGGGAGCACCGGCGCGGTCACATGAGGGCCTCTTAGGGGGGTTATGTTGTAGGAGCCCTAAGAGGCCCCTGTAGGCGTCGGAGGGGTAGGTCACGGGCATGTTCTATTTTCATCTGCTGATAAATGTGCCCGCGTGAGTTCCCGGCATCTTCATTTTCTCACCTCCCCGGCCACCGGCAGCTTCGGTGGCTCCAGCACCTCCTTCACCTACATCATGACCTCTCCCCTCCTTCAATCAGGTGGTGACTTGTACACTTGTAGCATACCTTCCATTACTATTGTACCTATTTTATCCAGATGAATTTGAATGCCCATTCAACGGTCAGTGTTGAAATCCCCGATGCATCGGAGGCCTCCAGCATGCTGCCAGTACAAGATTAGTACACGATCAAGCTGATTCCAGTGGCTCCAGCTGTTCCCCACAAATGTCAGACAGACTGCCGCACACAGGAATCTTGATAGAACTGCTCGGGAGGTTTCCTGAAGCATCGGAGGCCTCCAGCAGGCACTCCAGTTTGATATTGGTGCATCGTAAACACAATTCCAGTGGATCTGGATGTTCGGAATCAGAATGTTGAAGCTAATGTAGTATTATCATGAGCATAATATCTCTTTTTGTAGGACTATTCAACTTGGATTCAACCATATATTGAGCTTCCTACCCATGGTTGAATTTGGGGAATTGGGTCAATGGATCAAAGCATGGAGGTTTTAGCTGTATTCCATCTGAATAGTGGACATGGTAATTATTCATGATAGATTAAGATGGGTTCAATCCACAGGTGGAACCCATGATGGCTATGACACCTACGACACCTACAGCTCAACCACATCCATTTGAATTTCTTCATATGATAGTGCACCAGTTAATCATGTCCCTCATATTGAGAAGCATGACAGGTAGGTTGCGCACATTTAAAGAAACCATGTTGCCTGCAGGGATGGAGGCCTCCGTCTTTCTGCAATTCCGGAAATATTTTCATTTTTGGTTCAATCATTGTGTTTCAAGTCCTGATATTCAGCAATTAATAATTCCAGGGCATGTAAATGGTTCCCGAAGTTGGTATTAGAGACTTACACTTTCATGTCAATGACACTGGAGGTGTCGGAGGTGTCAGAGGTGTCGGAGGTGTCGGAGGCGTCGAAGGCTATTGAAGCCCTCCCACACCTACCAAAAAATATCATCAGGCCTCCAACATGGCTAGTCTGTTTCAATTCAGGTTCAGGCCATGTTGGAGGAGCAAAGAAGAGGCCCACCATTCCCCACCATCTTAACGGTAATGCCCGAAGGCTCGGGTGAAGCCCGGGCCAAAAATTGATGGACCAATCAGAACATGAATAACCATGAGCTCAATGTAAAACATTCTCTGTGAGCTCAATACTGCATCAAATATCATGAAACCAGGACGAAATAATAGCTGTAGGATGCTCGGACAATGAATGATCTACAGATTTCTCCTTGCTTCAAGCAAATTTTCCGTGCAAGAATATTAGCTGAAGTCAAACAACTTCTGTGGTTGAATCTTAGGTACTTCACTAGAGCATCAGATTCAAGACTCTTAAAAAAATTCCGAGTGTAAGATCTCTTTATATAAGCTGCACCAGGCCTATAGTAGGTATTAGGCCAACAAGTGAGACTTGGTTTGAGCCTTGGAGCCCATATTTAGAGGGTGAAACCTCGAAATTGGAGATATTGTTCTGACATCTTAAAATGGCTGGTTAGACGGGCTCTATAATGTTGAACTGCTCAGATTCCATCATTCCAAGTGTGGAAAGCCTGCAATCAGACACTCATTTGGCTGGTTCCTGCCAAATATAGTGACCCCCGACGGCCTCCGACGTCCTCCGACACCTCCAACGCCCTCCGGCAGCATCCTATCCCAGAAGCTGGTGAATTCAGTTAAGGGAAATTGGTGAATTCCTCATGAGAATGTAAATCATAATGTCTGTACAAGCATCTGGACACCAATTCATGCAATATAGAAGCCTACAAAGACTGCCTACATCTAGATGTGTAATTTTTGCAGAGCTGACATTCCATATGGATCCAACAAACTACTTCAAAGGAAGACCTTGAAGAGTTTAAATCAGAGGCCAATCAGAAATTCTACCACCCCAGGAGCAACATACATAGAGCAGGTACATAGAGCAGGTAGGTCACCTGCCCTTGGTAGCTCTGGCTCAGATATTACCATATCCCCTAGACAAGATCAGCAAGGATCCGAGCTGTAAGATTGAACCAGTGAGACCAGGTGCATATGATGAGGTAAATTGAGTGGGTGGTCCAGAACAGTAGAAGGATGGAGGCCTCCTTTTGTGCATATTGCTACACCTGCTGTGCTTTGCACATAGTGGTCTTTTGTTTATAGTCCATCCAATGCTTCTGAATGATATGTAGGAACTGTAGGATATTTGTTGGTCAAAACATGAGCGTCGGAGGTGTCTGAGGTATCACAGAGCAGTTCTATTGTCCCAGAAAATGAATCTGCTCTGGGGGGAATCTTTCCAATGTTCATTCCAAACATCCAGATCCACTGGAATTGTGTTTACGATGCACCAATATCAAACTGGAGTGCCTGCTGGAGGCCTCCGATGCTTCAGGAAACCTCCCGAGCAGTTCTATCAAGATTCCTGTGTGCGGCAGTCTGTCTGACATTTGTGGGGAACAGCTGGAGCCACTGGAATCAGCTTGATCGTGTACTAATCTTGTACTGGCAGCATGCTGGAGGCCTCCGATGCATCGGGGATTTCAACACTGACCGTTGAATGGGCATTCAAATTCATCTGGATAAAATAGGTACAATAGTAATGGAAGGTATGCTACAAGTGTACAAGTCACCACCTGATTGAAGGAGGGGAGAGGTCATGATGTAGGTGAAGGAGGTGCTGGAGCCACCGAAGC